GGGTGTAATATAGTGTTCAGACAGTACTGTCAATGTCTGAATTTCTGCATTTTATGAATGCAATTATATATATATATTAATATATATATATATGTTGCACAAAAACTGTTTTTCGCTTTGATTTTATGTTTTGTCTGCCGATTTACTTACATGTTCTTCTTTTGCGGCATTATAATAATCCTATACAATGTTAAACTTTCGGTTGAGCTTGTTGCTCGTATCAACACTTATTTGTTATATTGTACATTATTTTGATATAAATACCAAATTATATCGAAATAATTTGGAAAATACATATGCGAATTTTATTTCACAAATACAGAGGTCGGCAACAGTGTCTGAAATAATGAAACAATGGAATGCAACTAGTCACAATCGAGTAAATGCAGAAATCGAGGTTGTAAACAAACGAACAACAAGCGAGGAGATATACAGAGGACGATACAAAAACAAAACACAGCCGGAGAATGAATGGGGTTTTTTCTTGCCAGGAATATATTTGTGTTGGTCAAAAGCTGTGTTGTCAAAACTTTGTCGATAAAAAATGCTAGAGTTTGTTTAAAAAATGCTAGAAAGTGCTAAAAAATTTAAAAAAGTGTCAAATAGCTGTAGCTAATAATGAGATCTGTATTTATCAACAATTTATTATATACACAAGATGGAGTGAGTGTCTTTTAAATATTCTAGCAACACCTCGAAATATTCACCTGAGATCCTATTTATTCTTAATCAGAATAAAATTATTCGATGTAGCCATGTTTTCCAGAAAGTTGACAATTTAGGTTAATGATTTTTACATTACTCCCCCACAAAGGCCCCGCATAATTTGTTTTTGAATTTTTCCAAATAAACAAACTACTAGCAGACAATGTCACAGTCACAATATTTAAGAAATTTTTAATAAACACCACATGGTACAGGATAGAAAAAAATCCGCCGGATCGGTTTTTTTTTTCATTTTTCATAGATTTACTGACTTTTTTAACATTGGAAAATCGAACTCATAGCGTGAAAAAAGAAATAGGTGTATGTGAAATCGAAAAACGGCAATTATTTTTTGGGATTAAACTGAAAAATGAATGGAAAATGTTAAAAATATCCCGAAAAAATGCTAAACCAGTGAGCGGAGCAGTATAGTCGGACGGGCCGACCATATTATACCCTACACAACTTCCACGAAAATATAACATTCTGTGGTTCTATATTCTGAGCTTGGGCAATATTTCGCGATATTTGCACCCTCTTGACCGTCCGTCTTGACCGTGAGCCCTTCTAATTACTTGTGCAGATTCCCTTCACCGTGGGTTGTTCTGTGACGTTCAGCATTCAATAGTGGCTATAGATCGACTTCATCCCAAAATTATTATCTGATTATCATCGAAAATTATAGGCGTTGTCCTTGACCATACCTGGATCCTCATGGAAAATTTCAAAGCGATCAGCGCTATATTTACGCCCTCAAGTGTGGTAATGGCTTACTAGATAATATCTGAATACGTAAGCACCTGTAAATATTTAAGTGCAACTCCACATCTGAGTACATACGACAATATAATTGGTATCAATTTAAAGGTCAACCACTCCTCTGGGATATACTATCAACTTCTCGGGTGTATGTCCTTCAGGATTAAATATATACGCCATAGAATAATTTTTTTGTCATTTTTCACCCAAAATCTATTACCTATCTTTATCAAAATAGGCATGCTTATTCTTTAGCCCGATCCCTTTCTCCATGTGTATTTGGTCCATTTCATCCCCTAAATATAATCCGATCTCTACCAAAAACAATAGGGGTCTTCATTGGCCAGAACCCATCCTACATGCAAAATTTCGTGGATGTTGATCCATGACTGTGGCCTGTATCGTGTTTACAAATTATAATGGACATACGGACGGACGGACACACATGTCTAGATCGACTCAGCAAGTCGAGATATGACGATCGGTATACTTAAAGCTGGGTCTAGGACCAATATTTCGCGGCGTTACAAACTTTTGGGGCTGCAAAAAGCTATAATACCCTGATAACATAGTTGTGTAGGGTATAAAAAGATGCTAGTTGCTAGATTAATTTTTTTGGTGCTAATCGAGTTATAAAAGTGCTAAATTGGCAACACTCGTCAAAAGAGAGAGAGAGAAACAAAATTTAAAGTAGAGCAAAATATGCAAATAGTAATATTAAAGAAATGTTACAATTTTTTGGAAACAATAGTGGATTTCTCATAATTGAATGAATCAAATTATAAGAATTTTCAGTACTCCATAATCTACAATTCATATGAAATTTATTATCGAGTAAAAGTGGAAAATTACTATGAAAACATACGAATATTAATATATTGGATTTGAGGACTCTATCTGATAACTAGACCTCGGATTTTTGCATATTTTTTATGCTTTATCCGATTGGACTCAAATTTTGTATTTAGGCGTTTCATGCTTTAATTGATCGATATTTGGGGTCATGTCAAAAATATGCAAAAAATATGCAAAAAATATGCAAAATATATGCAAAAAATATGCAAAATATGCAAAAAATATGCAAAATATGCAAAAAATATGCAAAATATGCAAAAAATATGCAAAATATGCAAAAAATATGCACGGTATGCTAGGTCGATATGCGTTAAATATATGCAAAAAATATACAAAATATGCATTGTCGATATGCAAAATATGCAAAAATATGAAAAATATGCAAAAATATGCAAAATATGCAAAAATATGCAAACATATGCAAAATATGCAAAAATATGCAAAATATGCAAAAATATGCAAAATATGCAAAATATATGCAAAATATGCAAACATATGCAAAATATGCAAAAATATGCAAAATATGCAAAAATATATAAAAATATTTAAAATATGCAAAAATATGCAAAAATATGCAAAAATATGAAAAATATGCAAAATATGCAAAAATATGGAAAATATGCAAAAATATGCAAAATATGCAAAAATATGCAAAACATATGCAAACATATGCAAAATATGCAAAATATATGCAAAATATGCAAACATATGCAAAATATGCAAACATATGCAAAATATGCAAAAATATGAAAAATATGCAAATTATGCAAAAAATATGCACGGTATGCTAGGTCGCACTATTAAAGATAGAACTTTGAAATTTTGCACATATATTATTATTACTCCTAGGATGTTTGGTATTGGAAATGGGATATATCGGTCCACGTTTTAGTATATCGCCATATAACGGTTAAATATGTTTGCATGTTTTATACATATATTTAGCAATTTTTTCATAATGCCCCAAAAATCTAACAGTTGAACCATGAAACGCATACATACAAAATTAGATTTTTATAGGTTAAAAATAAAGAAAGCACACAAATTCGAAAACTACCATGAAAAATCTTGTTTTTTTTTTTTTGATTAAAATAATTGCATATCTGAAATATGTTGCTCATATTTTGCATATTTTTTGCATATTTCTCGCATATCGACCTAGCACACCGTGCATATTTTTTTGCATATTTTGCATATTTTTGCATATGTTTGCATATTTTGCATTTTATGCATATTTTTGCATATTTTGCATATTTTTGCATATTTTGCATATTTTGCATATGTTTGCATATTTTGCATATATTTTGCATATATTTTGCATATTTTGCATATATTTTGCATATTTTTGCATATTTTGCATATTTTTGCATATGTTTGCATATTTTGCATATGTTTGCATATTTTGCATATTTTTTGCATATTTTGCATATTTTTGCATATTTTTGCATATTTTAGCATATATTTTGCATATTTTTGCATATTTGGCCTATATTTTGCATATTTTATGCATATATTTTGCATATTTATTGCATATCGACCTAGCATATTTTGCATATTTTGCATATATTTTGCATATTTTTGCATATTTGGCCTATATTTTGCATATTTTATGCATATATTTTGCATATTTATTGCATATCGACCTAGCATATTTTGCATATTTTGCATATATTTTGCATATTTTTTGCATATTTTGCATATATTTTGCATATTTTGCATATTTTTTGCATATTTTGCATATTTTTTTGCATATTTTGCATATTTTTTGCATATCTCGTGCATATGCAAAATATGCAAATATGCAAAAAATTAAAAAATATGAACCCTTCAAATAATTCTAAATCCTTTGAAACGAATTTGTGTCCAATCAGAATTTCGATATCTTCATTATTAAAAAATATGCAAATATGCAAAATCCGAGGTCTACTGATAACATATGAGCGACATTTTTTGTAAAATATTTGCATGTCAAAAAATCAAGTTAAGAAAATAAGGAAAAACATTAAGTACAAGGCTTCGAGACAGAAGGATTGATTTGACTAAAGTTATTTCTAAAATATCCTGCAGTAGCCGCAAACAAAGATAGAACATTTTTTCTTAATGAATTGTGGGGTCATCAGGAAAAAATCATCACACTATAAGTCAAAAACTTGACTTTGTCCTTATGGACATTTATTTTCAAAAATAATTCCCCACACTATGACCATAAGCTCCATGCTGTCAAAAATTAACTTAACTCATTACACCATCCCTCCATTTTTTTTTTAATTTACACTCGCTCTCTGGACGCCTATAAACAAAATGTCCAAAAAACATGCAAGTGAATAATGTTGATGATGACGTTTAAATGGACTTGCTTTTATTTTGTTTTTGTTTGTTTTCATACCTAATATTTATTTTGTTTCTCTCTGTTCTTTTCGTTTATCTTACAGATTGTTTGTGGCAGTATTGTGTAGTGGAAACTGTGATCGCGGAGTCCGGTCGGTACATGTGCTCCAGCAATAAAAAGTGAATCATCTCCACACATCTGGGCAAAGCAAAAAAAAAAAAAAAAACCCCAAACAAACCGAACTGAACTGAATTCACCATAACAAGTAATTAACCAGTGCAGTAAGCAGAGCAGAGGCAGGCCGGCGACAGAGCGCCAAGCGTACAACAAACAAAAACATTGTTGTTTTTATTTTTTGCCTTAACTGGAACCGCTGCTGCCTGAGACGATCTGTGTTCAACATCATGGCAGTAATCTACAGGTAATTCAACTAAAAGCACAACTGAAGCGCGATAATAATATCAAACCAACAAAATTGAATTGTAAAATAAAAACCATTAAAACCGATTTAATAAAACAAAACATCAACAACAACTAAAAATCAAAGTTGATCCGTAAAACCGGATTAGTCGAAAAAAGGTGTTAATTCACACAGCATAAACCGAAAAGAAAGGTATTGAAAAAAGTGCAGTCATGAAAACGAAAACTTTACGCGTGCAAATAAGACTCTAAAATCCTCCAAAATATTAAATAACTTCGATATTGTCTGCGATCATTCATTAATATGCCTGAAAGGTTGTTTTCGGAAATAGCAGCTATGTTGTAATCGGTGATAGTTTGTCGATCCATATGTTAATATCTTTTTTGCGGGTGTTTGATACCGATTTTCACTTCAACGAAAGTAACTGAGAGGAGACCAACCCATCGACGGTGCATGAAGACGACGGACGGGCACGTCGTCCGTGTTCTCATTAATATTTGACAATAGTCGGTTTGTTTACGATACGATAAGAGCCGTTATTACAATTAGTTGTTGTTTTTGTTGGAACACTTTATATGGCAGTACATGACGATGTTAATTGTCAATTGTCGGAGAGATATGACGTACAGAAATGTGCAAATTGTGGCACAAAGACGTCAATACGAACATTTGTGAATTAATAATATTAAATGTATTGAATTACCAAATTTGGTATTAAATGCTGTGTTCAACTTCATTCGCCTGGTTAATAGATATTGTTTGTAGATTTTAAACAATTGAATTGATATTTTATCTTAATGACTTTTCTCAAAACATCAGAAAATTAGGCGAATTTTTTCCTTATTCTTTATCCATTTCATTTTGTGATAAAAGGAACAACAACATGATAGATTTCTAATCCACATTTCTCAAAACATTTTCATTTGTATACCGATCGTCATATCATGACTAGCTCCATCGATTTATCAATGTGTGGTCGTCCATCCATTATACTTTTTAGTCGCAGTTATATACCAATCATCATGGTCGAGTCAATGTTAACACCTCTTACAATAGGTGTTAACATTGGTTAATATTTTGGGGATGGAATGAACCGAATTTGTATAGGCCACAATATTGACCCGAGCATGATGATATTTTACACGGAGAAGAAATGAGCGACGAAGAAGCTGGCTATATGGAATATCAACCAATATTTAGCGGGTGTAATGGACCAAGACTTTTGTGTCAACAATAATCTCGAGGTTTACACATTCAACTTTTGTAAGCAACTCTGCAGACTTCTTAGGAGAGAGATGTATGAAAAGTGACAAGGGGTACGAATTTCAAAAGAGAATCGTAAAGAGCAGCAGCAGAGTTGCTTAAAAAAGTTGCATGTGTAAAGCCAGAGTATATAAATGAGTGATGGTTCGGATTTAGTCTGATATTAATGCTACTTATGTGGGAGAGGTACTAAAATTTGTAAAGTGATCCAATCTTGCCATTACCACATTAGAGAATGCAAATAACGCGTAATTTCGCCCAGGGTGTGAATTTAGCTCCACAGAAAGTTAAAACTCTAATGTTGTCTTGGTATCACATAGTTGGAATATTTCCTTTAACAAGGAATTGGTATTTTATTTAGAATTTCGTGGTTCTATAGATGTGGCTAACAAATAAAAACTCTTCATATTTGATCTACTATGGAGAGTATTCCTCATTAAAATATATGTTTTAGGCCTCAAGTGTCTTTCGACCAAATCAGCTTCAGAAATCTGGTACATGTAATTAAGTTCGAATTTAATCTAGGCTTGGTAAATATAATAGGTTGTGCAAAGGTTGGATCCAATCGGAAATTCCATTCTCCTAATATTGGATTTGAAAATATTGAAAATGTTGACCATTTGTGGGGGAGGTACCAGAAAGAGTGGACCGATATTCCTCATCTTCGAACTTGAACTAAATTTGCAATGTTTGGATGAAATCGGTTACTCTCTTCGAGAGTTATCGTGCGCACCAGCCGGCCAAGACAAACAAATGAATTCGAAATTGTCTGAAACGGATTTGGTCCAAAGAAACATTGGGTATAAAACCAATATTTCAATGATGCACATTTTTGCCATATCATAGGCTGAGGGTAAAAAATAACCAATATCGGACCATTATCAGTCCCCATTATCTTACTTTTTTGTTATTTTGAAGATTTCCGTCATTTTTTCAACGGAGTTGGCTCTAATTGGATATTTTGGGATCTTATCAAAATTTATGAATATCGTTCGATTTATATTTATATTTTTGGTTCTAGCCTGATTTCCCAACTAAAGTGTTTGTAGTTATACCCTACACAACTATGTTGTCAGGGTATTATAGCTTTGTGCAGCCACAAGAGTTTGTAAAGCCGCGAAATATTGCTCCTAGACCCACCTTTAAGTATACCGATTGTCATATCTCGTCTAGCTGAGTCGATCTAGACATGTGTGTCCGTCCGTCCATTATAATTTGTAAACACGATACAGGCCACAGTTATGGACCAATCTTCACGAAATTTTGCATGTAGGATGGGTTCTGGCCAATGAAGACCCCTATTGTTTTTGGTAAAAATCGTTTAATATTTAGGGGATGAAATGGACCAAATACTTAATTTTTGTCCGTTTTTCTGGTCGCTCTGGAGGTCGAAATTATGGCCCAAACATCGCGAATTTGTGTGAAAAATTACAAAATTTGTATGCTATGGCGTATGTATTTACTTCTGAAGGACATATATAACCTAGAAGTTGGCAGTATATCCAAGAGGAGTGGCTGGCCTTTAGATTGATACCAAATATACTCGGATGTGGGAGTTAACCTTAAATATTAAATATTATTATTATATAGTAACCCATTAACACTGGAAGGCGGAAATATAGCGCTGATCGCTTTAAAAATTTTCAAGAGCTTCCAGTTATGGTCAAGGACAACGCCTATAATTTTCCCAAATAAAAATTTTGGATGAAGTCGATTTAGCCGAAAATCACAACACAAACTGGTTTTTATTTGTTATTGGTATAATTCGCCGTGACATAATCCTAAAAAGTCCCGAATGATTTTAGGTATGTTGAATGTCCATCAAATTCCATATTTCCACCGAAGTTGTGTAACTAGGCATTCTGTGCTATTGCAGGTTAAGAAATATTTTTGCAAATATATTTTGATATAGGTTTATGTTTTGACATAGCCTCCATATAAAGGCCCCGCACCTAGATATTGTCAAAAAAAGTCACACTATTTTAAACCTGGCGAAAGGTCGACATTCCTCATCATTGCATAAAATCCGATAACCCTGTTGTCATTTAAATGTATATTTAAGGGGCTAAAATTAGTTTTATGTGACAACAAATCTTAAAAAATACGATTATCAAAAAGTCAAAAAAAGTATTCCCACCTTTGTTTCGATTTAATTTATTAAATTGTTCAGTGATATATTGCTGTCACTTGATCAACGCCTGCATTAGTATAATTCTTAAAAATATACGCTATAAATATATATATATAAGCAAAAATCACATAAAAATATAATTTATTTTAGCATCAAAGGCACATATTTTATAACTTTATTCAGTGATATATAGCTGTCATTTTGGAACAATGCACCATATGCGTAATTTTCTTTGTGATACTGAAAAAGAAAAAAATAAATAAAAATAATTTTAATACAGAATATTGACTTCGACCATGTACAAATTAAAATTACTCGATAAATTTTTGGACGTGGTCCAATAAAAAATGTATTCACCTTTATATCGGTCAAGATAGAAATAATTGATTATATTATGTTCTATATGATTAACAGCTGTCAGTTACTTAGTTCAATGATCGTTCCATTAAAAAAGATATTGATGAGATGTTCTCTTTGAATTATATATTATGGAAATATCATTCAGATCGGAATAAATTTATGTTTTGACATCCGGGGGAGGTAATTTTTTAAAAAATATTTTTTATTATGAATTTCCTATTAAATATGTATCTATTCTATTGAAGTGTCTATATTTAAATCATCTGGAATTTTCAAGAATTTATACTAACTCAAATAAAATAATAACCAGCCATTACTTTGTGGTGAGTTGTTGTACACATCCACATGAACATTACCGCAACAAAAATATGTAGTTTCTGTATTCATATAATGCAAATAATTATATTTAGTAAACTATTTTAGTTAATATTCATAATTAACTAGTTTATCTCCCCTCCCCCCCAAAAGTGGTAATTAAAACTTCTGTTTCTTTCGAACGATTCTAATGAGCGTATTTGTTAATGTTTCTAATGTACACTCAGGTGTGTGTACGCTTGAATGTGTGTACTACTTATTCACATGTTAAAAACTAAATTGTTTTGGCTTTTTATGTTTACGTTTGTGTTGTTGTTGTTTTTGGTTTTTGCAAATACTGATGAATGAAATTTACCCTCTATCTTGTACCGGAAAGCAAACTAAATTATTCCACTAGATTTGTTCATACTCTCATACACACTGAGGTGAGATGAGTGAGTCCATGATTGTGTGTCGATTTGTTGAATGGGAATTTCCTTTGGGCAAAATAAAGGAAATTCTTGTTTTGTTCAAATCTGACCGATTGATGGGGTACAGTACTTCGGTTCTAATGGATTGCCCAATTTGATTGAACATTGTAATATTTTTACCAAACCTGCATTAAATCCAAAAATAGGGTCTATAAGGTAATTTCAACTGGTACCTTCCTGTCGGCCGTATTGAGTCCAGTGTAACGGGAGTTAGATTTCATTTAATTTTTTTTCAGTTCGGACAATATGGTAATATTGGTGGAGAAACAATACTTTAACCTTTCCACTGCGATTAATACCTCCCTTGTATATAATTCCGTCATGACAATCCCCCCTTCTGTAGGGTATTTCAAAAAATCTCTCATTAGATACACTAATTAACTGCAATAAATTTTCAACAAACAAATAAGTTTCATAAAAAAGGTGTTGCATGATTACATTTCGATGAAATGGGGATTGCTGAACGAGGGAGAGTGAGTACACGGGTATGTTAGCTTTTTCATTTTGCTTTTAGAAAAAAGCAAACAACAACTTACACACAATAAACGTTCTCGTACGTATGTATATCTGCAATCAGATGCTTCATTTGATTTGAAATATTTATACAAATAGCAAAAAGGGGGGGGGGTTTACCCTTATTCTCAGAATTTGTTCTTGTTATGTGTGTAGGAGAACATTTTTTTCTTTTACTAAACACAGATGTTTATGTTTAGACGTGCATGCAATTAAAATCGAAACAAAATGCTTAGTACAAATTATACTAAGGGAAATTCTCTGGCACATCTTTGAAAAAAAGTTTCGAATTTAATGTGCTATGTTATTGTTCTTTATTTGTTATACACTTTTCGCACCTATTTCAAACGTTGTATTCGCACCTATATGGTTGTATTAGGTAGAGGTGACAACATTTTCACATAAACAAAATTTCAATTTCCGGTTTGAGTCTTTTGCCGGAATTAGCATATTGTTTAATTTTTTACATCGATGAAGACAAATGCTAGATGGAGTAGTGAAACTGTACCCTGTATAACCAATGGTATTTGTAAAAACATACAATGGTATTTGGACGGGAACATACATTTCTAGAAGATCTATCGTTAATTTTTAAAGTTTTTTAATTATCAGCAAATCTTACTCTACGATATCGGGACCCAATGGCCAAATATTAGAAAAAAATAATATGTAGAACGTTTCATTTTGCGCCAGGTTTGCAATTTATGATGTGTGACTGTTTGTGTGGGATATTCCAGAGATGATGGACTTATATAGCCGATATTTCAATAAATCTATGGTTAGCATATATGTATATTAAAGTCTCCCAAGTTTAGACCACATAGGATTTACATTTCCTTTATATAATACTAGGGGATTCGGCAATATTGTTAACAATATTGTTAAGGAATATTTTAGATTCACTTTTCTAAGTTTTATTTATTCCCTAAAAAAATTTTGTGGGTAAAAATATCCATACAAATTGTTGGTGTGGATAATCTTTTTATATATCCTTGCTGTATGGAAAAAACCGAAAACCGACTAAAATCAATCCATACACTGCAATTCTGCACCTATGCTAAATTTCATTTTAATCGGCAGATTTTGAGGCGTTTGCGTACTATGGGACAAATTTATATAAATCGATTTAAAGCAAACTTGCACACGTTATCCGTTATTTGACACCCGCAAACTATTTGGTGCACAATTAACTTGAAGTTTGTCGAAAATATATGAAATCTATGTATTCTAGTCGCAATTTGATATCTTCTGCAACATTTCTTGTTTATCGGACAAACATTAGTACATTTTACATCATTTACTTCTATGGGAGCTATATGTAAATCTGAACCGATTTCAACAAAACTTGGCACACTTATGGCTATACTAACATCAGTACAATGTACAAAATTATCTGCCAATCTTCGGGTTTTAAGTGCACAATTTACATAAAATCGGAAGGAAATATATTTGGGAGCTATTTCTAAATTAGAACCGATTTTCACTAAACCTGACACACATCATTCTAGTCTTTATTGAGTACGCTATGCTAAATTTCGTGCAAATCAAAATAAATATAGGGTATTTTTGCGCACCATTTACAAAAAAATCTGACGAAAATATATATGGGAGCTATATCTGAATCTGAACCGATTTTCACGAAACGTAGCACACACTATTCTAGACTCAATTTAGTGCGTTATGTCAAATTTTGTGTAAATCAAAAGATATATAAGAACTTTGGTGTACGATTTACATCAAATTGGACGAAAATATATTAGGTTGGTGAAAAAGAAATCCATTATTTTTATATGAAATGTAGGACTTTATTTAACATGCTTCGGAATGTCCGATTTGGGCCAATTATGCACCGTTTTGTTGTATGATTTGTTGCCATTTTAAAGGTAGCTTCATAATGCCTCTATCATAGAAGTCCTGCTCTCCATTTGCAAAAAAACTCTAGAAGTCAATTTTCACAATCATCCCTAAATACCAATTTTTTTATCATTAACGAAATTTTGCAATGCATGAAGAAGATGCCAAGTCCGCATTAAAATTTCCCAACCAAGTTCCCGAAGTTTCCTGTTGTCCAACTCTGGCCGTTTCTGGTTAATTGCTATCTTTAAAGGGTCCAGTTGTTGACAGTAGAGATCAGAATTTAGCGTTTGGCCATATGGAAGCAACTCATAATAAGTAATCCCCTTCCAGTCCCACCAAATGCATAGCAGACCCTTCCTGGCCGTTAGTCCTGGTTTGGCCACGGTTTGAAGTGCTTCACCGCTCCTTGACCACGATCGTTTTCCCCATAGTGTTATCGTATGAGATTCATTTCTCATTTCTAGTCACCATCCGTTTAAGAAATGGGTCAATCTCATTCCGTTTGTCCAAGGCTTCGCAGATGGAAATTCGATCCATCCTATTTTTTGATCATTTCTCCGATTTTATCGACATTTCCGACGAAAAAATAATGGATTTCTTTTTTCCCTAGCCTAATATATGGGAGCTATATCTAAACATGAACCGATTTTCACTAAATTCAAAGGTTCGTCCTTGGACCAAACAAATGACATGTTCCAAATTTCTAAAAAGTACAAAAATTTGTTAAGCTCCTCTGGGACCAAATTTTTATTAGCATTTTTTTAGTGGGAAGATTTGACACCGAATGTATTTTTTAATATTTCATCAAATATTATTCGAATATTATTTTAAATCAAATGTTTATTATATAAAATATAACGAATGCTCACGCGCGAGAATTCGAATGTTTCAATTTACCACGAATGATAAAGTTACAATGAATGAACAAGCATTTGCAATCTCTCGCGAATGTTCGCATTGCACGAAAAATTCACGAACGATAAAACTTCGCTGCAAGCGTCGTCGATTCATTCATTCGCGAGCATTCCTTGCTGAAGAACATTCTTTTGAAAAACTAAAAAAAAAAACAAATGTTCGCGAATGCTCGCGAGCACTGTTAAAAACAATAATATCATAAAAAAAGTAATCACACACACAACGAATGAATGTGTGTGTAGCAGAAAGTGTGTGTAATAACCAAACACATGTCCAAAAACTATTGAGTTCACAAACGTTTGTTGTTGGTATTCTTGTTGCTGTTTTAAGCATTCGCGAGAATTCAGGAATGTTTGTTTTCATTCGCGAGAGAAAGAAAGAATTTCAACCACCAAACGAAACGAACGATCGTTGTTGTGTGCTCTCACGCGTTTGTTATGTGTGTGCTAACATTCTTTGGCGAATGCTCGTTTGGTAAAAAAAATTATCGCCTTAAATTCATTCGTAAAATGAGCACAAAACTAAGAGAATGTATTTTAATTCATTCGCGAGCGAATTTTTGCGCACCCTGATAAAAAGTTTAGTTTTGCTTTTGGCCTTCGAATTAATGTCTCTACATTAGTTGTATTGTTTTTTTTATCAGCTTAAATCCATAGGATCTACCTGATAAACTTCATACAAAACTTAAAACGAACTTGTAATACCGGCCCTTAGTCACCCACTAAAGTAGAAAAGTAAATCGTTTCTTTAAGAATCTGTTTTTAGTTTCTAATGAAAAAACAAAACAGAAATAACAAAAATGAAAGTGTTTATACGTTCAAAGCAAAAAGCAAACATTTATTTCACACATGAATCAGTTCGCTGTCGAAGTAAAACAACCCTTATCTGAATCAACTAATTGCTTCTCCGTAAAACATTCATACGATTTATTAAAATAACTCTATGAAATGTGATAAAACAATGGATTTATTCTCACGTCCATATGTATGTACATTGACATACATTCATATACATACATATGTTCCAAATAATATGACAAACATTTGTATACATTTATGAACAGCATATAAAACGCTATCTGAAATACGCAGTAAGCAACAAACGCCATAACAAAAACAAATTTTAGGTCTCCAAAATTTAGTTGTAATGTGGCATTCAGACACAATAACTGGCTATTCGTCGTCTCAGTGTAGTGACGATAAAAATCAATTCTAGACAAAAAATCGAAATTTAAGCGGCAATTAAAATTCAATTCAAGTATTTTTATGTATTTTTCTTTTTTGTTAAAACTTTTTTGCTAAATGTTAATGCAAACATGTTTTTGTTTTTTATTTTCGTTTCATAAAACCTATCCACAACAACAATAATCGTGTGACGTATCCTTGGCACTGACATTGAATTGCGTGAATCATCATCATTTTTTATCCGTCTGGCTATACCTGTGTGTGCGTGTGTTCTCGTGCGTTTGTGGTGTAAACAACAAACAGCTGTTTTATTGCCTTAGCTTTGGCAACACTGTGCTCAGCCGGTACTATTGCAAATCGTCCCACATTTCCGGTCCAAACAAATCAAATTCAGCCCGGCAGCAAATCACCTGGTAATAGAGTCATGCATCCAGCTTTTGCAAATGCCGGTCGTACTCCCGGTTTGGAAATCTGGAGAGTTGAGGTATGTTTTCTTATAAAGCATTGTTCTTTTTCAAATATTGTATTTCTTTATTTGTATTTCATTATATGACGTGTCATGTCATAAATGACGCATGTCAATAATGCAATGACCACTTGAAGTGGTGGCAGTGGTGGTTTCTATTTAGAAATTGTATTTAAGAATGTCTAATTTAAACGTTGTGGTTATTTGCAAATGATATTAAAATGAATCCATATTTACAGTGGAACTTCTCTATAAAGAATTGGGATCTCTAAATGCGAACTAGTTCAAAGGAACTATTCTGCAAAAAAGGAACTATTCTTTCGTTCACATAGTTCATTTTGATCCAATCGTTCACCTATATGTTACTAATAATCAGTACAGACCCTCTAATTACTTGTCCAGATTCCCTTCACCGTGGGTTGTGTTGTGGTGTTCGGCTTTCGACTCGAAAAGTACAAATAATTAAGTTTTCGGTCCACTTCATCCGAAAAATTATTATCTGATCATCACCTAACATTTTAGCCGTTGTCCTTGACCATAACTGGAACCTCATGGAACATTTCAAATCGATCAGCGCTATATTTTCGCCCTGAATACATAAGCACCTGTAAATATTTAAGTGTAACTCCAACATCCGAGTACCTACGACAATGTAATTGGTATCAATTTAAAGGCCAACCACTCCTCTTAGATATACTGTCAACTTCTCGGGTCTATGTCCTTCAGTGATAAATATATACGCTATAGAATACAAATTTTGTCATTTTTTCACACAAAAGTTAGGGTCCATTTGACCCGCTAAATATTGATATATAAATTGGGGCTGCACAAAGCTATAATATCCTGACAACATAGTTGTGTAGGGTATAAAGAACAGCTTCAGGAACAAGATTGCCCAACTCTAAAAAAAAGTAAAAATGTTGTTAAATTAGACCGGGTCGAACGTTTTATACCCTCAACCACATGTACAGTCGAATTCGGTTAAGTGAAAACGCCTAATTTCAGAAAAAAAATTTCTCTTAAGCAGAATTTTCAATGAAAAGAACTTCGGATAAGCGAAAATCGCTGCGCTTAAAAAAAGTTTTCAATCAATATCTTAAAAATCGTTAAATTTATAAATCATATTATAAAATGAATTGAGTAAGAACTTGTATTTTCGTAGACATTTGAGTGGATGGTTGGAAAAATGTGAAACAAAGTTTTATGGTTGCACATAAAAATTTTAATGAATGTCGTCGCCCTTACAAAAATTATATTTTTTTCTCTTAAACGGTGCTCGTTTTATATATATTTGTGTTTTTGCAATAAAAAAGTCTTTCTCTTATACAGATTTTCAATTAACCGGTTATTCCTTTAAGGGAACCCCACCCATTCTCGATTTTAATTTTTCAAGATTTTCAATGAGCTGGTAAATCAATACCAATGCTTGTTAAGGTTTGTAACTTTGCACATACATATATATTTGAAGATTTAAAAGAGAAGAAAAATAATTTACAACAAATTTTTGTTATTGTTTTGTTGTTGTTTTTTGTAATTAAAGAAAAATCTTTATTTTTGATGGCGGGCATGATAACTCCTCACTGGAACATCGGAATCAGAAAATTCCAACGGTGTTAGAAAGAGTACATGTCTGACTCTCGTATGAACTAGGATTATTGACTTCGCTCTAAAATTAACAAAATGGTGGACCTTTGAAAAAATATTTGTGGAAAATCGCCAATTTTTTACCAAAAACCAAGTTAAAAATAAGGAAGATCTTCACCGACTGGCTTTATCCTAGTTCATACGATAGCTATACACTCACAGAGAAACGTGTAAAAATTTGAAATCGATTGGGTTAATAGTTTTTGAGTTATCGTGCCCGCCATTCACAAAAAAATGTTTAGAGAAAAACGCGTTTCAAGTTTGAGAAGCCCTTCAGCCGTCAACTGATGCTGACACAATAAATCGGCTATATCTTCAAGAGTTCTTGAGATTTTCACTTGAAATTTTGTAGGGACATTTATTAATTAGTGTAGATTCGAATTATATCAACAAAATTTTTGACCCCGAGAATGGGGGGGTCCCCTTAAGCGAAATATTAGTTTAACATTTTTAGTTTCAATTAACCGATTTTTTCAATAAACTGGCGTTCGCTTATCCGAATGCGACTGTAACATCAAATAAAATGCTCAGCCGGACATGGTGTTATACTGCACTGGAGCGGACAATTGTGGGATAATCATACAAATAATATTACAAAACAGTGGATCTATGTCGACTATGTTTTTCAGACATATTTTTAAACCACTTTTTTTCTTAGCAATCAGCATTGATGACATATTTTCCTGAAATGTCAAACTACCCAAAATTCGTGTTACCATTATATGGAAGATACATCTAAAGATGGGTCATTATTGTACAAAATCCATACATATACAGCATATACAGCTGGATCGTAAGTTTCTGATATTGATAAATGTCAGAAACTTACGATGGAAATGCACGGCTAGCGTTATAGTAGGGTAAATAGGGGCATTTGGCTAAAATGGTGTCGTAGTATATTTAAATTCAGACAATTGTCATAAGTGTTTGTACAATAGACACGATCCACCAATGGTGTACCATGTGATCGGTACACCACTGGTGGTTCGTAACTACGATACAAACATTACATGCTGGAATGTCAAATTGAAGCCATTCATAGTAGGTTAAATAGAGGCATTCGGCTATAATGGTGTCATATTATATTAAAGTTCAGACAATTGTCGTTAGATGGCACCTAGAGTTTGTATCGTAGGCAAAAACCGTCGATGGTGTATTGTAAAACATGTGATCGATCTACTATACACCACTGGTGGTGTATACTCTGAATGCAAAATTGAAGCCACTCCTATTGGAAAATGAAACTAGCGCTATTAAAATACTTAAAACGGACTGGGTATTTATATGGCGGCTATGTTTTTCCTTCTAGAAACCCGAATCGAATAGGGGCACTCGTTTTAAATTGTGGCATATTATATTTTTTGTTTAGAAACGTTGTCGTCAGCACACATTTCTACCCTCCGAAACAGAAAATGTAAATTACAGTCACTTCGGTTTCAAAATGGGGCATTGCGGCCTTCGCAATATCATAAATGCGACTGTGTCGTTATGTAGGGTCTATACTACACCGTAGCAATTTTACCGATTTAAAGAATACTTGATACATTTTATTCAGAAGTCTATGCAACATCCAGAATCAATCGAACAAACGTAGGCACGAAGAAGTATCTGGTAGAGAATTTCCTTCTATATAATTTGAAGGAAGATATGGATAACTTCTGCCGTCTACGTCCTTCGTTATTGGCGTTAGAGGGAAATAGGCTAAAAGGGTTAACACCTAGGGTTACGGACAACTTGATGTTATGTGTACGTTATGAGTTCGAGGTGGATTCCAATGGGTTAAAAATTTGGCTGGCCAATTGCCATGGATATACCCAAGGGTTATTTCGAGGGATTCCCCAATGTTTAACGTACGGAGAACACCTCAAAGCACTCTAAAATGTCTGGAGACCTGCAGAACTCAATGTTGAATCTCAAAATGTTGTGGAAAGCGAGTTATTCCCAAGGTTTACAAATTCCTCAAAGATTGGTGGAAGACAGTTCATGAAACTTCCTTGTGGGTTAATAGAAATAAAATGCAATGATTACGATTGCATCGAAATTATTGTCAAAGGTTTGATACTTTTCGGATCTGACATATATGGACTTTTCAAAAACTTTTGGAGAGCCCTAGGAACCAAATAATAACGGATACCTCTAGTGGGTTCCAACTGCAATACATACCCTCAATTTAGATCTGTTCAACACTGCTTTAATTGTAGACTTTGAGCTACCTTCCTTACTGTATATATATCGATGCTGCCCTCGATTTGTTTAAAACCGCGCCATTTTTTGCCATAATCTTCATATGGCGATTATGATAATGCTGCAAAGAAAATCTAACATCGTTTTCTTAATGTCGGAAGCCACAAAAAGTTTGAATCGGCAGGTCTTAATATAGTTTCTACTAGGTTTAATTAATGTCATACGTTATACTGGGTGGCAATTAATCCAACCCCCTTATAGTACTGGAACTCTCTCTCTCTCTCTCTTTAAATGACTTGTTTTGTGCGTAAACTTTTCTTAAATAACACAAAATATATCTAGAATTTCAAGCTTCCCAACGGAGTATGTATTGTAATTGAACCTATCTATGTTTTTTCCATCAGGAGAAATATTATATATTCAAGATTGCAACGATAGACTTAATAAGTTTACCATTAAAATAATTGCCATCATTGTCAGTCAGACACCACAATGTAAATCCTTAGTACTGTGCAACACGTTGCAGTAACATTGAATGCTTAAAAAAAGTAGAATTGGGGCACCAATGAGACACTCGAAAGACACACACATATACACACTCACATATATGACAATTGGCAAACGCATAGAGGCGCACATCCTGGACGCTTACATGACATTTAATAAAGCTGGCTGGCCGACCACCATCAGGACATTACCATTGCAGTAAATCGGATTTTAACAATAAATACGCGAAAATGGACATAAACAACGATCAGACTGCTGCAGAGGACAACCAAAATGGTTGAGGATAATTTTAAAGGACAATGACTGAGTAAAATGGTAGAGGAGAGAGTGGTGAGGGTGAGAAAGAAGTGAAGAAGGTGAAGCAGTAGAAAATTTTAATGGTGTGTGTATTTGGTAAATGTTGTTTCGTTTCGCTACGTTTCGGTCATCAAGAATCCATGGTCAGCAGTCAGTTTAATAATTTACTCAAGTTTTTAATTTTTTTGTTGTTGCTGCGTTTCTTTCAATTTTTTACTTCATTTTAATGGTCACTTAATGTCCATATGTGCAAGTGTGATGCGTGCGTGTGTGCGTTCGTGTGTGCTTGCATTAATGCAGAAAAATAGCCAACATCAGTGTAATGTAATTGTTTACATGTGTGCCACTCAACAAACGCTTAAGGATATCCGTTACGGAACCTCCTTTTTGCACACACACACACATTATAGCCTCCATTACCCCCCGAACTCTCATACGTGAAGATTATCTGGAGACCTAAAATAGATACATGACATTATCCGGATATAAATCTTTAGATTCACAAAACAACAACAACAGCCACAACAACAAAAACTGTCGACTATTGACTGTAATAGTCTTCTCACAGTCAGGAAATAATCATGCATGAGTGTATCGATTAGGGATGCCAATTGGAGGTTTATTTTACGTGAAATAGTGGAAACATGACTTAGTATGTGTATGGCTGGTCTGGTACATTCGATTTTCGGTATTTTATAGGCTTTAACCATATTTTCCCTCCTATTTAGTTTCAATTTTTAATCTCCAGAGTTTGAAAAACTCCTCCAAATAATTGTGCCCAAAAATGGTACTGTTATATTTTTGGTATTTTTTTTTATATTTGGGTAAATTCGGCTAGATGGAAAAATGTTTTATATGGGAACTATATCTGATTTTTTTGTTCAAAACATGGACCCATATCGAAATAGTTCTGCAAACATTTTTCACGCCCGGAATACCAAATTAGAGCTAATTATCAGGAAAATGCGGCATAAAATTGTCGAGGATGGACTTTTATATTGGGATCCATGTCAAAACATTTTTCACTCAACAAGAACCGGAAATCTGGCCAAATTACAGCCACTTGAGTTGTAAAATGCAGCCAATACTTCTATAATACCAAACAGTAAAGTTCACAAGTCGGACGGGGCCGACTATATGATACCCTTCACCACCTTGGGTACATACAAGACATGCTAATATATACAATATCCTGTAGATTGAACAGGTGTTGGATCTTTGGAGGACCATTGAGATGGAATCGGGCGAAATTAAATATTATATGACATCTACATAGATATTTAAACCAATTAAAAACCTCCATACACATACCATCATTGAGCAACCGTTGCAAACACCATTTGGTATGCGGCAGCACAGTCTACAATTTAATTTCGTGTATATGGACGTAGACTCCTCGGTGCACCATTTAAATAAAATCAGAAGAATATAAATATGGAAGATATATCTTAATCCAAACCGTCTTTTTTAACATTAATACACATCATTCTAAACTCAATTTATTACTCCCAGCCAAATTTCGTGTAAATCAAACAAAAATAGGTTATTCGGAGCACAATTTACAACAAATCGGGCGGAAATATATGTGGGAGCTATATCTTAATCTGAACCGATATAAACAAAAATGTTGTCTCAATTGGACAAATATTGGATGTTTTGTGCACCATTTAAATAAAATCGGACGAAAATATATGTGGGAGCTATATCTTAATCTGAACCGATATAAACAAAATTTCGCATACATCAGTCTGTACCTATTTCAGTACGCTGAGTAACATTTTGTCTCAATCGCACAAATCTTTTGAGTTTGGCGCTTCATTAGCATTAAATCGGAAGAAACTATATATGGGAGCTATACCTAAATCTGAACCGATTCTAGCAAAACTTCGCAGACATCAAACTGTACTTAATTCAGTACGCTATACAAGATTTTGTCTCAAGCGGACAAATATTTGGTTCACTATTTATCGACATACACTTAGTGGACGTATAGCACCTGTTAAAATGCCGATGTTCCAAATTAAAGAGATTTTATATTGTAAAACGGGGACCGATATTGATAATGTTTGGTAGTGGGAGAGAATGAGAATTCAAAATTTTAAATTTCAGCCAATTCGGATGGAAAATGTTCCCAAATTCCCAAGTACACCGAAATTCTGGAAGCACCGTTATATGGGGACTATTTAAAAAAGTTGATCAATACAGGTAATTTTTGGTAGTCATATATACTTTCCAATTAGAAATCAAAATACCCATTTCGGCCCAAAAACCTACCTTACATCCCCAAAATGCCGAATATTGAGGTGTACCGTTGTGTGGGGCCTGTGCCAAAACGTGGACAGTTTTATCCTACTTGATATACATACTAGAAGTGCTATCAATGTCTGTGCACAATTTTAGAGCTCTATCATAAATCTTGCGATCTCTATGGTGATTCCTACATACAAATATACAGACAAACGAACACGGCTATATCAACATTGAATTTAGAATATATAAATATATACTTAACGGGGTCTCCGACGATTATTTCGAGGAACAGATTTATTATATCTCAGATAATTCTGTGGTGCATGTGTGCGAAATTTTGACCAAATACAACTAATGGTGCCTCACACACCGAATTTTCCAATGCTGACTTTTTGGTCTTTCAGCACATCCACATCTCGATACAATATCAACGTAATTGATATAAATTCGATTGGATGTTATATACCTTAAAATTAAATTAGGGCAGTACTAGACACTACAAGCGAATTCTGGACAAAAAAACGATGACTACCATTACGTCTTACATGTAGTTATTTAGGTTTGGTATGCAGATATTCACGGTCAACTTTGATACTTCCTTTAATGACATCGAATCACAATAACTTGTCAATTCCAATTAAAATTTTTGATTTTCATATTTACTACAACTGACATCTCTGGTGTGAGTTTTTGTTTGTGTCATACCGATATGGCTGTATGTGTCTCGGAACCTAGCATAAGAATCATGGGATTAAACTTGAGTATGGCCTGAGTACAGTATTGGTTTGGCAATGCAATGCATACAAATCTTCTGACGGTTTGTTCATATGCTTGTCTGTCTGTCAGTCAGTCTTACGGTTTGTCACTATACATAATGCATACATACATATGTATGTGTATGTGCAAACATATTTTCATTTGCCTGTTATCAAACATGCAGATATTTTGCTACAGATACGATACAATGTCAAGCAGATTGAATGCCAGCATTCAAATTAACAACAACAACAACAGAAAACGAAGAAGGTGATACTCAACATAATGATGTTCGATGCAGGGCGAAAAAAAATTAAGAGTTGATGGCAATGAATGAACGAAAAGTTTGTCTTCTTCGTTTTTAAATATTTGTTTACCGGCAAAAATCCTGAAAATACACCACTTTGAAATGAGATACATATTCAGATTTTTTACTACAGACTGCTGGGTAGAAACTCAAAGGGTACAATGTTCGTGGGCTATAGTTGCCGACGGCTATGATTAAAGGCACATTTTAAGGCCTTGTTTTATATATTTTAAAATACCAGTTCAGGTATATCAGGTCTCTTGCCCGTCACTGAGTTGTGCAGATGCTGCATTAATTCTTGTAAATACAGGATATGTGTTGACCACATAATGAGTGATTTTGTTGCAAATATATGTATGTATATTAGGGTAGAGGAACTTTTTAAAAATAATAGAATATAAAAATCAGAATATATAAATAATTCGATCATCTGAAGCCATAAATCTGGTAATGTAAATTGCTATATTAATTTTGCCATTCCGTTTGACCAGAATAAAATTCCGTCGGGGTGTCATACCTACGTCTGTTGAAATCAGGCAATTTTTAAGAAAGAGTTTCCAATTATGCACATAAGGTGCTACTCCTAGTAGGTTTGATGCTGGTTTCACAGTGGGAAGAAAATGCTACCTTTCTACGAAAAACTATCATTGGTGCACTATTTAGGATAGCTCATTTATTATATAGATTAATTTGATCTTAAACGACCCGGCGAATCCGATTAATATATTCTATCTCGTTTTTCTTGATACCCTAATATAAATACATATAAAACTGTCCATCAGCACATTCACATCCTGATCAACAATATCAACGTAATTGACGTAAATGTGACTGGATTTTATAAGCCTTAAAGCAAATGATGGGTAGTAGACGAAACAACAACCGACTACTGGAAAAAATCACCACTATGCTGATCATCATCATCATCATTATTATTGGCCACATCATTATCATGGAAGAAATACTTTGACTATGCAATTATGGTCGAAGGGTTTTTTGTTTTTTTAAAAAAATGTGTCCACATTTGGGATAATACAGAAAATATTTGATGGATAATGTTTTAAATTTAGAAGATTTCTCGGTAGACACAAAGGCACCTTAAAGGCTTACCACTTAATATTAAACGTTAACGTCTCATTCTCTCATCTAACTAGGTACATTTTTTTGCATATCCTCAATATATTGGGTCTAACTTATTGTCTAATCGAAAAAGTTCCGTCCATTTTTATACGATGGAGTCCATATACAATTTATCATTCAGTTTGCAGCATACTGATATATTCGAAGTGACATTCCGGGATCTTGGTGGGTAAACAACTTTTTCAAAGATCATTTTTATATAAGTCAATTCCCATAAAAAGGTACAGCGTCATTACGCCCTACACAACGTCGCGAAATATTGGTAATATACCCACTTTTTATTTTACTGATAATAATATCTCGACTAGCTGAGTCGATCTAGACATGTGTGTCCGTCCGCTATGGACCAATCGTCATGAAATTTTGCATTAATTTAGGGGATGAAATAAACCAAAAACTATATTTTTGACTGTTAGCTTTAGAGGCTACAACAGAGCCGAGCTCTAGAGGCTACAACAGTAGCGAATATCACAAAATTGGACATGGAGAAGTGCATATGTCCAGGTTATAGGCATGGTCCTTTTCGGAGTAATCGGTCAATAATTTGTGGGTCAAATAGACAAGAAATGGTAAAATTAGCATTCTATGGCGTATATATTTACTTCTAAAGGGCAAAGACAGGAGAATTCGACAATGGAATTATTGTATTGGGTATGGAAGTAATACTAAGATAATTACAGGAGTATAAGCATTTTGGTTTGGTTACCACACTAGAGGGCGGATCGCTATCATGATATTTAGGGGATGGGTGTTGTTGTAACGTTGTTTCTATACAGCTTTAGAGGCCACTATTGTAAGCGGAACATAACAAATTTTAAACGAGGAAGGAATAGATGTTTCAAAAATAACCAGTCAATATTTTAATGGAAAGCCCTGCAAGGAAAGTAGTAAAGTCGGACGGGGCCGACTTTATGATGCCCATCACCACTTTAGGTATATTCAACAGATGTATTAGCAGGCATAGCATTTTTGAAGGACCATTAACATGATATGTGATCTTTATCTAAATGTGAACCGACTTAGATCAATCCATAAACATGTTATTCTGGACCAATATTTAGGGTTCTTCGTGCATCATTTACTTAAAATCGGACGAAAATATATATGGGAGCTATATTCAAATCTGAATGGCTTAAATTTGGGTCTTTGGTGCAACATTTACTATATATTGGAGCTATATCTAAATTTGAACCGATACTAGTTTCAGTACG